GCGAATCACCACAGATGCATGACCGTGTGTTTTGAGCTCTTTGGGCGATGGTTTGAAATGCCCCCAGGCCTGCAATTCTCAGTAAACCAGTAACAGTTAACAACCTATTGATACAGCTGCAGAAGTACAGCGACCCATAAACAAACAGGCAGGAAACACAGGATACCACGCTGAGCGACAGAGTGATGTGATGAGAATGGCTTTAAGCTTTCGAGCCTGACAGCAGGGGAATGCATTCACGTGTGTGTGTGTTTGTTTGTTTTTGTTTCTTTGTGTGTGTGTCTGACCTTTCAGCATTTTCTAAAGTCTGTATCTTTACAGGGTGGTCATGTATGTGCAAATAGGTGATTGATGTTCCTGAACGACCTTGATGACGTTGCGCTCGTTTGTGTGCCCCGGTGTAACCTGCGTGCCTGCTTTGATGTTCCGTTCATTACTGTCTCTGCTTTTCAGGGCTCAGATCTGAGTGTGCATGTGCCTGTGCCAGAGGTGTATGTACCTGCACGCAACATTGTATCCAAGGGTGGAATGAATCAGCAGTTGCTACATGCCTAAAAATGAAGGCTGCTATAAGAAAAGAGTTGTGCGTGACCTCTCTTCCTTTCTTCGTCTCTATCACTTCCTCCTCCTCGTTCTCTTGCTTCCAGTTTCTCTACTTGTTACTCTGTCTTACCTCGCTCTCTGCTGTCTCTGCCTCTCTCAGTGTGTTTGCAGTTCAGACCCAGACCACAGCCGTGTTACATTCCTTAGCCATCCCAAGCTAAGATTAGCATACTGATTAGCTACCCTTGTGGGCTCTCTCATCCGCCTTCCCCCGAGCTCACATGCAGGGCTACAGTCTCATGAATACATAATTGCGCCGTTGGCAAACAAATGCACGGCTGAGAGCTTCCAGATGAGGGAGCTAGTGCACAGAATACAATATTGTTTGTTGCTGTTGTCGTTGTTGTTGGCTTCTTTGTAATGTAATCAAAAGGTACTGGAGCATTCTGGTGTGATTAATGTTTCCAGTACCGACACGTACATTCCAAATACTTCAGTTGTTGACTTGTTTTTATTTATCTCTCCCTCTTTTACTTTTTTCTCCTCTCCTCATGTTTTTCTTCTCCTTTCAGTTTTGTTTTTTTTGCCACTTTCACCCTCTTGACCGTGGCTTCTATTTCACCCTCAGCAGGGTTTGTCTTTCCTTTACTGCTTTATATCTTTTGCCTTCATCCTTCCCCTTATACTCCCTTTTTTCCATCTCTTTCTTCTTGCCTCACTTGCTTTCCTTATCAAGGTATTAGAGGGGATATCAAGTCACCTGCTGCTCTCACCTTATTCGGTGCCTCTGCTTCTCTCTCTCTCTCTCTCTCTCTCTCTCTCTCTCCCTCCCTTTCTTCCCTCCACCCCGTGCCTCTCTCTGTTCTCTCTTCAATCTCTCCCTCTCACGAGGGCCTGGGAGAGGACAGCGTATCGTGTGAAGTTGGATGTTGATTCTAGGTGACAGGCACCATATGAGTCATAGCCATAATCACAGAGTTCCACCACCACCACCCTTTTGGCTGTAAAACACAGCAACAATGCAAAGCAAAAGTGCCCTTGGCACAGATATTAGCCATACATTACTAACCATCACACAAATGCATTTTCTAAGATGTAACACATTTTGTAAACACTTGAGAATTTTCTTTCTTATTTTGGTATCTATCT